GGGGACGCGGCCCGGCGCTACAGGTACAGGCCCCTTCCCTTCCTTCCGCGGGGCCGGGAGCGGGGCGGCGGGGCTGGGCCGAGAGCAGGCAGCGGTCTCCCCAGCTTTCGCAGAGTTTTGCGTTTAGGCCGTATTTTGAAAAGCTGTGCAGGCTCTCGGGTGAGCTGTCCTGGAACATCGTTTTCCCGGTTACGGGGCAGTACGTGGTCAGGAGTAGGGGGCTGCCGGCGGTCGGCCAAAGCCAAGGAAGCCGCTGCTTCCCGAGAGGACGTGCAGTGGGGGAGCCCTGCTCCCCTTGACAGAGAAGATCTGGGGTTCCTTTGGTAGCTTTTTATTTCCTGGAGAGCAGTAGTAGTGGAAACTGAGCCTGTGACAAGGCAAGCCACTTCTTTGCTGTTTCCAGTTTCTTACGATGCGACTCTCGTAACTTGCCTGAGGAACAGAGTGGCTGGAATAGCTGTTTCAGGTTTACAGCACAATATAGCATTGCCTTGGCATAGGCGCTTTAATTGCATTTATATTGCAGTATCCTCAGGAAAAACAGGCTCACAAGCAGACTTCTGTCCTCACTTCTAAGAGAAAGCACAAAAAGAAACAGTTCGATAATGCCTGAAATTCATTGAAGGTACATCACGATGATCTGTTGCTACTGTTAATAATTGCCAAATGCTATTGCCACACAAAATTAAACTTTTTGCCCTAGAAATGGGGATGAGTCAGGCAGCACTGAAGACAGGGTGACTAAGAGACTGTGGCAGCTCAGCTTTCTGTAGATTCAGCAGAACTGGTTGTACTGCAGAATGATGCTACCCCTGTTAGTGAACTTTCTGTCGTTCCTTGTTTCTGAAAGGCTTCTGAAATCCTTTTCTCACCTTTGCATGCTGAGATGATGCAAGTAGTAAGGAGGTCATGTCTCCCAGTGACATCTGATCAGCAAATTGAAACAACCCTGATTAGCAGCAGATACTTCTAAAAATGTTCTTCTCTGAACCCTTGTCTTGTGTTTTCAGTCATTTACGTGGGGCACGGCTCCATTCTTATTGCGGGAGCTGGTGCCTCACGTCCCAAGAGAGCAGTATCTGCTTTTATCTGTACACTTCAAAGCTTCCTTCCAAGCTTGATGTGGTGTTTGTAATAATTGTGAGGTGTGCATTTTGCTTTGGTTTGGTTTGGTTTTTATCTCACCAAATCTTGCATAATTTCATCTGTGATTTCTTCACTTCCTGCAATCCCAGTTCTCTGGCAGGATTACATAAACAGTGTTTCATGAAGAGTCGGTGTAGCCTTATAAATTTTTAAAAGAACTGATGAAAACCAAAAGATTCATACTTGTTTGATGGAAAATGCACTGTTCTTAATTCCAAATACTATCAAACAAGAACAAAGTTCCTAGAGGAGAGATCTTCCAAAGAAGATGACAAAAAACAAAGACTTCTTACGTTCCCTGGCTATTCCGAAACAGGGAGCCTGGAAGGCGTGATTTATACAACGAGCGGGCACACACAAGACTTTTTTTCCCTGTGATCATTTTTAGAAAAAAACCAAAATGAGACACAGCAAACCAACCCTGCAGAAAAACTTAAACGACAATCTAAACCAATGTGTTAAACCCAGTGCTGCGGATATCGCACAGCTCGTGTAGTCCTTCCTGCTAAAAGACTGCCTGTCAAAATGATAGTTCCTTCCAGTGAGACCACGTGTTCTGTGTCAGTATTCCAGTAAATCGTGGAGTGTCCTAGATCTGTTGGTTTTGTGCTGCAGCTCTTCTGAGCTGTACGTGGCAGATGCAGAAGGTTAGGAGGGACGTTTGTACGTCTGGCAGGTGCCAGGTTCTGTCTTGCCTTGAATTTATTTGTTATGAAAGGTATTCAGGCATTAAAGGAAATCCAGAAGCAAAAGCTAAAGGAACTTCATTGTTATTTGGTAAAGACAAAATCTCTGAGGACTTTTAATGTGGAAGCAAAGCTTAACAAGAGCTAAGGCTGCTAAAAATACTTCCGTGGTTTCCCTTTAAATTCCAGACAAGTCGTGTGGAAAATATCTTAACTCTTTAGGATACTGCTTCGGGAGAATTTCTGTCACATCACCTCTACTTTATATTCAAACTGCATTAAATTTAAAAAAGGTAAATATATTCTAAGGTGAGGTACAAACTCTTCTTTTTAACTTGTAATGGACTTGAGTATTTCTCTAGGATAAAACACAACATCTGATTAAACACAGATTTGGTTTTATTACTTTAGACTTTTCTAATTTGCGTTCTAGAAAACAAAAAAAAGTTCTCACTTGTTTTTTTTTCTTGCCACTTTTCCTCAGGTGTGCCAGAATGTCAGAAAGATCAGATATTCTCCACTTCAAGTTTGACAATTATGGGGATTCAATGTTACAGAAAATGAACAAACTGAGGGAAGAAAACAAATTTTGTGATGTTGTGATCCATATAGATGACATTGAAGTTCATGGGCATAAAATTGTCTTTGCTGCTGGCTCTCCCTTTTTAAGAGATCAGTTCTTACTCAACGACTCCAGAGATGTCAAGATCTCCATACTGCAGAGTTCGGAAGTGGGGAGGCAGCTGCTTCTGTCCTGTTACAGTGGCATCCTGGAGTTTCCCGAAATGGAGCTGGTGAACTACCTGACTGCCGCAAGCTTCCTGCAGATGAGCCACATCGTTGAACGGTGTACGCAGGCCCTCTGGAAGTTTATCAAACCAAAGCAGCCGCTGGAGAGCAAGGAGTGTGAACAGCAAAGCGACTCCTCGGAGCTGAAGGAACATCAAGGAGACGATGACTCTCTGCAGCAAGATTCCCCTTGTATTCAACCTTCAGAAGACAGCATGGACATGGAGGATAGCGATATTCAGATCATCAAGGTGGAGTCCATCGGGGAGGTAACAGAAGTTAGGAATAAGAAGGATCAGAACCAGTTCATTTCTTCTGAACAAACTACACTGCATTCCTCAGAGCCTCAACACTTTCTTATCAACTCCACTGTTGAAAACAGAGCAAGTGAAATAGAGCAAAACCACCTCCACAACTATGCCCTTTCATACGCTGGCAGCGACAACATCATTCTGGCCTCTAAAGATATGTTTGGGCCTAACAACCGAGGTATAGACAAAGGCCTCCAGTGGCACCATCAGTGTCCAAAGTGCACAAGAGTATTTCGGCATCTGGAAAACTATGCTAATCACTTAAAGATGCATAAACTATTTATGTGTCTACTCTGTGGCAAGACGTTCACTCAGAAAGGCAATCTCCACCGGCACATGAGAGTGCACGCAGGCATCAAACCGTTCCAGTGCAAGATCTGTGGGAAAACGTTCTCTCAGAAATGCTCCTTACAGGACCACCTCAACCTGCACAGTGGGGACAAGCCCCATAAGTGTAACTACTGTGACATGGTTTTTGCGCATAAACCTGTTCTGAGGAAACACCTTAAACAGCTGCATGGTAAAAACAGCTTTGACAATGCCAATGAAAGAAACGTTCAAGACATAACAGTGGACTTCGATTCATTCACGTGCAGCGCTGCCACAGACACTAAGGTCTGTCAGCAAGCTGATGCAAGCCAGGTACTGGATGCAGGGAAGTTGCCTCAGGCTGTGCTCAGTTTAAGAAACGATAGCACCTGTGTCAATTAAGCAATTAAAACCAGCCCTTTGCAGGGATCCTGACTGAGAGGAGCAAACAGTTGGTTTGGGCTCTTACCTAAATGAGTGGTAAGCCCAGAACAGCTACGGATGGATGGATGGATGGATGGATGGATGGATGGATGGATGGATGGCAGGTTGGATTGCAAAACCTGGCAGGTCTTCACCCATCGTTCTTGGTCTTACTTGATATTTTTTGTGAATAGCAATCTTCCTTCAGGTTTCTGTCTGTGTCTCTACTGTGGATTAAGGGGTTAATAGTTTCATTTCTCTCTGATAAGGAGACTCAAGACTAACACCTTTTGAAAGACTTGCTGTGGGCTGCGAGTCAGCCATCTGCTGTACAGTTAGAGGCCTCTGTGTCTGGGCAGATGGAGGAAAGAGCAAAGAGGACAAGTCTGTGAGATAACCCAATTACTGTTTGGTTTTTGTAAGCACTGGATAACTAAAAGCACTCCACATAGCTAAATTTAAGCTTACCTCTTAAAATTAGCTTTCTCTGATCTTACCCCCTAGACCCCTACAGTTGAAATGAAGTATTTTTGTGTCACTTTTTTGCCCTCTCTAAACTACTTCAAGAAACTTCTGCTGCCAGTCAATGCTGTCATAAAAGCTCTCAGGGTTTTTAACCTCGACACACATTATAAAAAGATAAAACCCTAGATGATTTGGCAGAGTTGGCTGATTTTACGCAGGGTTGCATAGAACTGTTCAAAATGAGAGTAAGTTGCAGCTGTGGAATGTGAGAGGCTGGTGCCTGGAGTGCAGGTATGACTTATTTCTTACACTGTCATACCTAGGACTTTTAAAGGGCACTTATCAGTGTATGTACTGAGACAAGCTAAACACTTCAAAACTAAAAATTACAATCCATCTTCCGTAAATTTTGCATCACGTAAGCCACAACAGTTTTGCTTTAGAGCAAAGCTGGAGTAGAGAAATACTGCTTTTTGACACTGTGAAAATAATCTGTTTTAAAAGCTGCAGTGTATAACAGCTCCATGCTTTTTTTTTTAATATTTCCTCCCCTGAGCTCTTGTGTATCTCTCCTTGGTATCTAATGAGGGCCACATGTCACAGAATCACAGACTATGAGGAGTTGGAAGGGAGCTCGAATATTGTGTGATTCTGTGATTCATGTCAGTTAACCTGAAAGAAACAAAAATACCTGCCATGAGAACACGAGCAACAAAGTGGTTTTGATTTCTTGGACATTCAAGGAATACTTTTTTTTAAGTGACCTGTATTGTTCATGACCATTAGTGTTTTACAGAGCCTAGGATGGGGTACAGGTAGCACAATTTGTGTAGGTTAATGTATCAGCTCTTGACTGTACTCAGCAATACCTCTTGTATACCGCCTTAAACATCAAATGTAGCGGGAATGGCATGTTAATTGGGATTCTGGGATTATACCGTATTGCTTCTCAAAAGTGCCGTGGAATTATCCGCATCCCAATCAGGCTGAAAGAAACTAATTTCTCTGAGGAACACCATTCCCAGTAGAACAGCACTCTTATTACTTTGACGTGTAGCATAGGCTAGTAATCAAATGGCTGATCCTCAGCAGGGAACTGCTGTTTGTATTTGGAGTCAATATTTCTTCCAATGCAGCTCTTTTCCACAAGGTTTGCCGTGAGGCTGAGATTATGCTTCCTACCTAAAAGCAGTACTGTTTGTGTGTTTGAATGAGAGGGGATTAAAGGCTGCTACTGTATCGTTAAAAATGCTAAATAGGTATGACCAAAGGTGTGATAGAGCAAAAAATGTTTTCTATGTAATTATCGAAAGTTGGTCTTGAAGTTCAGATGTGTGTGTGAAGAAGCCAGAGTTTCCTTATGCAGACATTACACTGACGGACGATAAAAAGTGTTAACGTTGCAGAACACTTCCAGAAATCCACGTACTTTCAAGTAGAAAAGTGAGGCGATTCTGTGAATCAGTTTTTGCAATTGAGTTCTTAAACTACTGTACTCGACTGTTACATGGACTGTTACGTGACAGCTATGAAGTAAGCAATGGAAATGGAATCAGGGCATTACATCTTTCAAGTTGTAGCTAATATATTTAGGCCTAAAATCTAACTACTTCAAACTTTAAAAAAATGATTGTTCAGGTTCCTGGGGCAGAAAATAGGTTTGCATGGGAAGAAAAACTGGGTTTCCTCTTACAGCCACCCGCTTTCAGAATCATTTTGAGCTAAAACTCACTGTGACAGTTGCATCTGACACTTGCATTCTGTCTTCAGGCAGATTCTTCTGTATTGTTGGAACATTTTGATAATATATTATTGACTATATGGAAATAAGTTATAGCGCTAATGTCAAAACAAAGATAGACATGGAGAATGAGAGCTTGCAGAGCCAGGTCAACGTGCTGGAAGGGACTAGTGAACAATCTGACCAGATAAGAATATGGACACGATAAAGAAAACAGCCTTCTGCCAGAGAAAGGAATAAAAGTCTCCAAATGCTAGAAAAAGTGGCAGCAAAATGGACAGTATTGTCTATCTGGGAAGTTGTTATTTTGTGGAATGATGAAGCTGTAATGTCACTGCAAGGAGAATGCAGCTTGTTGAAGCAGCTGTGGGTGACCTGAAGCTGGTAAGAAGAGGCAAGGGGTTTCCTAAGAAACAAGAAACGTTATCTGGTCAAGATACGTAGGTTTGCAGTCTACCCTGTGCTGTGGTGCTACCGACGTCTGAGAAGGCTGAGACTGCGGGCCCTTCACTTGAAGGCTGCTTGTGGTCATTCGGTGAGACCACGGCAGAGAGGAACAGGAAAAAGCAGCAATGCAGAAGACTGCTTCCTCGATGAAAATGGACACATCTGTTGGATGAGAAGTGACTAATCACTAAGGTCTGTGCTTCTGGCCTGGCAAAAGGGTACAAGCCACAAGATTTATGCAGGAGACAGCTGCGTGACTCCAGCAACACTGGAGATCTAAGAAAGCGATACGCTGATGGCACGGTGCAGAGTGCATTGGTGGTAGAGCTCGTCTAAGATTTGCCTCTATATGGCACAGACAAGTGAAGAGTATAGAAGTGGTATTAGGAAAGAAAAATCTGGGTAATGCTTCTTCTCTGAAGTACGGATTAAAATGGAGTGGGAATTATAAATGGAATATACAGAGACAGCTCGATTATAGTTGAACTTAGTTGTCTGTGTATGTAAAATGTTGTCTTCATTGCAATGTTCCAGTTAGTGAAAGACTAGATCCGTTGGTTGTTGCTACTGATGCTGCATATTCAGACGAGGACTGTGGCAGTTATCGTAATCTGTGTGTTAATGTGTAGCATCCTATTTGCTGGTAAGTGGATAGTCTCACAACTTAACGTGCTGTACAACTTCCTGCATATCCTAAAAATAACTGAAGTCTATTGCAAAAATATTTTAATAACTCTGAATATATTAGGATTTTTTTTTTAATGTTGGCATTTTATTTATTTATTTTATATAGAAGAAAACCTTAGCACTCTTAGGTTTACTAGAGGTTTAGGCTTGCCACTTTTCGGAGTGGTGGTAGCTTGTGTAGCATGTGTTCCTGCAGCGTTTGGTGGAGCTGCACAGCCTCCTGCATAGATCAGGGATGAGACTTTCCTTAACTTATTTTTCTTTTAGAAGACCTGTTTTGCAAGTGATAAAATTGAAGTGTCAGTCTTTTTCTCCCTCAGCATTTTGGCAAAACTTAAGATAGCTGCCGCTCAACTGTTGTTGAAATAACGTAAAAATTAATTGTGTGGGGCCGGTTTTGGTTCTGGAGTCATCGGGAGGAGTAAAGGCAAGGAGGGACAATCAAAATGTGATACATACTGAAACTGTTGAAAGAATTCTCGTTAAATCTTGATTTTTTTAAAAAACACGGGGAGAAATAGCCGGCCCTCCTGGCTTGGGAAGGGTTGAGAAGGCAGAACGGACGTTTTTCCTTTGCGATTGTATAATGGTCGGACTGAGCATTAGCTACCTCTGTGACTGGGCAAAAGTCTTATCCTACGGATCGTTACCAAAGCAGGC